AAAGAACACAGGGGGCCTATAGGCAGCCTAGCGAGTTCTCAAGGATATGAAATCACAGCCACTCAACTCCAGCTAGACACCTGTCAGCCCAGTTCTCAGGTTACACCTGACAAGCACGCTTCAACCCAGCAAGGCCACACCGGTCAACCTAAAGGGCCACGGGTGGGAGAGATGGACGTTGCTCAGAGACACGAACAAGCAGAACTCAGTGGGCGTATTTCTTTCGGTGCTGTGGAAATGGAGCATTTAGGATCCACTGTCTAGATGCACAGTTAGCAGTACAGATCAGTCTTAAAAACTTTAGTGCCCAGTAAAAGCGGCAGCATGAATGAGGTGCATAAAACCTCCCCTCACTTGCATACATCACAGCAACAAGCACCCTGTGCGAGCGAACACCACTACCCTTTGGACAAGAACACCAGCAACCCAGATGACTATTGCAGAGCATACAGGAATACTTGCCCATAGTTGGTGAAAGGAGAATAAGATTTGAGTAAAATATGAGCGGAAATTTTGTAGGGACCAAAGACGGCAATGTGTTGTGACCAGGGTGTGCTTAATTCAATCCTTCCTACCAGGAGAAGGAAAGGGATGTGCCTCGGTTAGGGTTTCTATTGCTGTGAGAAAATACTTGCGGGGAAGGTCTGTTTTGTTTACACTTCCACATCACAGTCTACCAAGGAAGAAAGAGGCAGAAACTCAAGACAGAAGCCTAGAGAAAGGAACTGAAGCCGCGGCTGTGACTGCTTAGTGGTTTGGTCACATGGCTTGTTCAGTCTGCTTTCTAACAGCACCCAGGAGCACTCGCCAAGAGTGGCACCACCCACAGTGACCCAGGCCCTCCCACATCAATTATTTATCAAGCAAATGCCCCACAGGCTAGTGGGGGCATTTTCTCAGTTGAGATTCCCTTTTCTGAAAAGACTCTAGCCTGCATTAAGCTGACATTAAAAACTAGCCAGTGCAGGGAGGGGAGGGGATAGAAGAGAACGGGGAAGATACCGAAGGGAAATGGTACCCTCCAATCTGACCTCGTTCATTTTCCATCCTCAGCTCCCACTTGCAGCCTTCCAGGTTTGTCTCCAGTGCAGACATCTTTCTCCATGGGCTCCCTGAGCGGCCTGACGCAGCCCCATCTCCACCCTGCAAAGCCAGTGGGTGTTGTTGGCAATGTGTCCTTAGTTGCAAGTCCAAATAGAGCCAAGCGTGAGGCAGCCCTTTCCAGGCCCTTGGCACCCCAGCTATCAGCCCTCCTGTTGCAAGTCACACCTTCTAAGGATGCTTTTCAAGAAACTTACCCAAAAGGAGCCGTTGGTTTTTTTTTGTTTTGTTTTTTTTTGTTTTTTTCAACACAGAGGTGCAAGCCTTTCCCAGGAAAACCCATCCCAAAGGGGACACGAAGTTTGCTGAATGGCCAAATGGGACCCTTCCAAGAATCTTTCCCCAGGAAAACCCAGGCCTCTTCCCACGCCTAGCAACCCTCAGAGGGATTCTCTCCTCCCTTCCTGCAAGCCCCAAGACTGTCCTTTTCAGAACCGCTTCCAGTCACTTTATTCTCTGGGCCTCTGTTTCCCTGCTATTCCCAACAGCTGTCCCCCACTCCCTCTTGACAGCAGACACTCCATCAGAACCGCCTAGAGTCCTAGGAACATAAAGATCTTGGGACCGGAAACCTTAGAAAGCAGAGAAAGTGCTGTCTCTGGCCCTGCTGTAGTAAGGCCTCTGTAAGCATAGGATGGGCAGTAAACGCAAGTGAGACTCCCTCCTGGGGATGCTTTATAATCAGTTTCCCTAGGTACCATCCTCACCTCCTCTCCAGAGGCAGGACTGAATTTGGGCAAGTTCCATTCCTATTCTCCAAGGGCCTATGCGGTGCTGACTGCGAGGGAAGCGGCTGATTGGAGCTCAGTTGCCTGGCGATGCTCTGCCAATGCTGGCACTGGCTCGGGAGGCCTGGTGTTTCCCTTCCCAGAGCCTGGCTCTCAGCCAAGATGGTATCTGCTCAGGAGCTGGAACCCAGCAGACTCTGCCTGCCCTGTAACCTAGCAGTACTCTCGGCCTTTCAGCTGAGTTTTTCTTTAAGAGTTCCTGAGGTTATTGGTTTTCTGCCCTGGGTATGGGGTCAGTAGAATTTTCTCTAAGGATGGAAAAGCTTAGGAAACCAGATCTGGGTATCTCTCATGTGCCAGGGCCTGAGTGGTGATCTATTTAGGAAGCCACACCCCCACACCCACCCATCTCTGTCCAGTCACTTTCCGGAGTGGCAATGGTCCTTTCTGACAGGAACCTGGGGAGCTTTCCTCAGGCAGGTATCATTACCTTGCTGGTGTTGGCAGTGTTTCTTGGACATGTGAAATCAAGAATACTAAAGGATTTCCTACGCTCTGTAGAAAAAGAAAAAAGGAAGGTTTGATTGAGACTTTTTGTGTATTCCATTTTGCTGTTAATCTATCAATTTGACACAGATTAGAGTCATTTGGGAAAAGGAAATAACAGTTAAGAAAATGTCTCTACTAGATTGGCCTGCGGTGCATTTTATTGGCTGATGATTGATGTGGGAGGGCCAGGTTACTGTGGGCAGGTGCTCCTGGGTGCTATAAGAAAGGAGGCTGAGCAGGCCTTTAGGACAATCCAGGAAGCAGCATGGCCTCTACTTCAGTTCTTGCCTCTAGGTTTCTGCTTTGAGTTCCTGCCCTGACTTCCTTGGAGGACAGAAGTGAAAATGAAATAAACCCTTTCCTCCCCAAGTTGCTTTTTGGCCATGGTGTTTATCACAGCAGTAGAAACTCTAAGTAAGACATAGTCTTTAAAAAAAAAAAAAAAGAAACTAAAATAAAATCTAGGGCCAGCAAGTTGACTCACTGGGTTGATGGACTTGTGGCTCACACCTGACTCCCTGGAACCCACATGAGGATGAGAAAAGAGAACCAGCTCCACAAAGTGGTCCTGACTTCCACGTGCATGCTGTGGCACACATGTCCCATATGTGTCATGCCTCATACAATAATAATAATTTTAAAAGATCACTAGAAAGCACTGGAGAAAGAAAACTTAAGTAGATGTCTGCTTCATGCATTCAAATTGAACAAGAATGAAAAGAAAAGAAAAGAGAAGAGAAGAGAAGAGAAGAGAAAAGAGAGGGGGAGGGGAGGAGAAGGATGAGAAAGAGGAGGGGGAGGGGAGGAAGAAGAGGAGGTAGAGATAGAGAAGGAGTAGAAGAGGAAAAGAGGAGGTGAAGGGGGAAGAAGAAAAGGAAGAAGGGGAGGAAGAAGAGGAAGAGAAAGAGGAAGAGGGGAGTAAAAAAAGGGGGAAGAGGAGGAAGAGAAGAGGGAGGAGGGGAATCTACAGCCACTTCAGAATAGGCAGAAAGTGAAGGTGGCTACAGAAGCAGCAGAGATGTCAGAAGCAGAAGCAAAACATCCAAGCCAGAGAATGAAGAACTGACACACAGAGAGAAGCACAAACAAAGAAGAAGGTGGAGAGAGAAGTCGAGAAAGAGAGCAGTTGTGAGGGGGGACAACAGCAGAACTTAGTGCAGAAGCATCAGGAGGGCAGGAGAGGGAGAGTGAAAGGGGACAAAGGAGAGAAAAGGAAAAAGGGAGAGGGGAGGAGGAAGGTGTAGAAGAGAGACTTGGGAGGCAAAGGCAGTAGAAACAGATAAGAGAGAATCTGGGGCCAAAACAGGAACCACAGATGAAAGCCACAGGGTCAGTGGGATGTCTCAGCATCTAACTGAACTTGCCACCAAGCCTGACGACCTGAGTTCAACCCCTGGCATCCACATGGTGGAGGAAATGCCCTGATTTCCCAGTAGTCCTGATTTCCACACACATATCATAGTGTACGCATGTGTGCACATACATACACAGCATGTGCATATGTAAACACACACTAAATAAATATATAGTTAAAGATAATAAAAGAAATGGAAGAGACAGAGAAAAGAAAACAGCAGAATAAAAGCAGATGCAAGAAAACGTTTAAAGAGCAGAATTGGCAGAAGCCAAAACCAAAAAGAGAGGATGCCAAGGCAGGGGCACAGAGGCAGGGGGAGGCACACAGAGTCGGGGGAGGGGCACAGAGTCAGGGGAAGGACACAGAGTCAGGGGAGGGGCACAGAGGTGGGGACAGAGACCAATGAGAGGCCAGAGAGGACAGGCCAGGATGGCCTGGAACTCTCTGTCTGTTCTCCAAACCCAGTTCCTCCTGCAGACAGAGGCAGATGAGCTACCAAATATTTGCAAAGTACAATAAAAAAAAAAATCTATGAGCAAAGTGTATAAGGAACTCAAAAAACTCAACAGAAAAATTAAAAACAACTCGATGTTAAAATAAACAAAGGACCCAGACAGATTTTTTTAATTTATTTATTTTATTTGTTTATTTTATTTTTGTTTGTTTTGCTTTGTTGTTGTCCTTTTTTTCAAGACAGGTTTTCTCTGTAGCTTTGGGGCCTGTCCTAAAACTAGCTCTTGTAGACCAGGCTGTCCTTGAACTCACAGAGATCTGCCTGCCTATGCCTCCTGAGAGGTGGAATTAAATGTATGTGCCACCACTGCCCGGCCCCAGATAGACATACTTAAAGGCATATAAATGGCCACCTAGTTATGACTATATACTCTACATCACTCAATATCAGGGAGATGCAAGTCAAAACCACAAAAGTGAGGTGCCATCTCACACCTGCTAAGATGTCAAAAGACAGAACTGACAAGGACGTAGAGAAAAGAAAACCCCTACACAGCCTCCACGAGAATGTGAATTGATGCAACTGTTACAGAAAAATAAAACTACCAAGTGTCTTCAAAATGTAAAAACAGTATTTACTATAAAACCCAGCAATATCACTGTAGGGTATATATTCAAGGAAAATAAAACCAGTGTGTTGAAAAGACACGGGTCATCCTGTTTATGTCTCTTACTCACTGCAGCAAGTACTGAACATTTAAGTGTGCTAACAGATAAATGGATAGAGAAAATCTGACACAGACAAGCAGGTATACAATGGAAGAGTATTCACCATTTACTTATTTTTTAAGATTTATGCATTTGTTTATTTTATTGATATATGTATATGTACACGAGTTTGTGCGAACCACAAGTATCAGGCCTCCTGGAACTGGAGTTACGTGTAGTCGCTAGAGCTGCCATCTGGGTGCTGGGAATCGAAGCAGGGTCCTCTGTAAAAGCAGCACTCTCTCTTCATCTCTGAGCCACCTCTCTAGTCCCACGCTTCACCTTTGAAAAGAAGGAAATCCTGCCATTAGCAACATGTATGAACCCAGAAGAGGTTGTGTGAACCTAAGTACGCCAGGCACAGAGACAAGAAACACAGGATGTCTCTTAGAGATGAAGTCATGAGTCATGGAAAAACAAAGGCTGTGAGGTCTTGTGTGTACGGAATCAAAAGTTGTTGAGCTCATAGGAACAGGGGAGATAAGGGGTGCCAGGGGGTAGAAAGTGGAGGAAATGAGGTACAAAGTCTAACTTCTAGGCGAAGAGGCCTGGAGATCTAATAGTACAGCTTGCTAATTTGTTAATAATGAATTATAGCCTTTCAATTTGCTGAGACTAGTTCATAGATGATTGTTTTTGACATATGAGAGATGAGGCAGGTATTAATTAGTGTGCTTGCGTTAATCACATCAGGAGATATTGTGCATACGTTAAGTATGTACAATGTGTGTTTGTCATTCGTGAATCTCAGTAAAGCCGGGTGGGAAGCAAGAAGCACAAACCGAGTTCAGAGTACACAGATGGAAGCGGAACTGAACAAATGGAGCTGGGTGGAGGAGGGGGGAGCCCCTGCTAGGGAAGGGGCATGCTCAAGGTTCTCAGTTTCAGCCAGGCTGAGGTCTGGTGGGGGCCTGGGTAGGCCCTGGTCTTTCCCACCCACGTGTGAGTAACGAACACTGGAGTGTAGACCTTGACCAAGCCTCTGTCCGTGATGGAGGGCAGTCCTGCCATGGGACAGTCTTCCTGCTGAGGAGCCAGAGGGAACCACTGGCCCCTGGGCTTTTCCCAGTCACTAGAGGTGCCTTTGTGGCAACCAGAGGGACTCCAAATGGCTTAAGGGCAAACATGTTCAGACACTAAGAGGTTTGGGTTAAGGAAAGAGAGTACCCCTAACAGCCCCAGTTCTCTTGAAGAGGTTGCTCATTCCTCGAGCCATCTTTGGAGCTACCTCCAAGTCCAGACAAGATACCACTGTCTCTGTGGACTTTGGGGTTTCCATTCTCCCCTTGCCCTCAGGCCCCCACAAACCCCACTGAGCATGCAGAAGGGGAACAAAGGAGGTGGGGGTGGAAGCCCTTGAGGTCCCAAGGCATGATGGGGTCTGTTGTGAGAAGGTGAAGTTCCACCTGCCAGCAGGATCTGGGGGAAGGTATAGGAGGAGGGCTGAGGTCACAAGGAAAGGGCAGAAAGGAAATCCCCATACCTTCTCAATGCAAGAAAGCTTCCCAAGTCAGGTAGATACTGGTTGTAAAATGCAAGGAAGGCAATGTGTATCTTCAGAACATGGCCAGCTTGCTGCAGAGAATATAAGAGTCTGTGGTGTGGGGCTGGAGCCCTAGCTCCCTCGGGGCTGCTTCTCACAGCTTCCAGTCTCACCACCCATAAAAAAGCAGCTCTCTCCTGTTGTGGGAATTCGGTCTGATAGCCAATTGTATTGGGGTGGCTTGGCCCAATGGGCGTGGTCTTCTCTGGATGTGTGACCCAATAAGAACGGGGGGGGGGGGGGGGGGGGCGGGGGCATGCGCTCTCTTGGACGGTGGATGAGTCGGCATCAAGCCACAGCTTGGAGCTTCCCCTTTGCCTTTTGGGAACAAGGTTGCAGAACAGCGGCAGAGAGCTGGTTGCCGGATTCCTCATTCTGTCTTGTAATCACTGTGCACGGATTTTGATATTAATAAAAGATAACACGATCCCCAGACTGCCCTCTTTTCTCTTCCATCCCATCATAGTCCACATAAATGACTTAGAGCAGATTCTGGCATGCTGGGAATGCTCTATAATTCCTCCTTATTCATTAGTAGAATTATAGAATAAGTTCTTACCAAGTCACTGATTGAGCAGCCACTCGACAACTCAGGTCAACATTAAGTACTTAGACCCTGATGCGGTCAAAAGCGAAAGTACCTCAGGAATAAAGAAACTGCCTTTAGCACGGTGGCAGGAGAAGGCACTGTGGCCATTTTCCTCCAATCAATGTCGTCTTTGGATCCCTTCACTTTGAGTGTCCACTCCCACCTGGGTTGGCTCCCTGTTGGCTGTTACAGTAGACACAGTGACTTAATGGCACCAAGCCGCCATCCCTGCTACACTGAGATATCTTTGCAAAAGGCTTTGAGAGGTGCCGATGGAGAAACTGGTATTGAGGAGAAGGATCAAGAGTATGGGGCGTTCATGTGACAAAGAGTGACCTCTGCATATGATATAGTAAGGTCTCCTGAGTCCCCAGGCACCTTCCAGGCAAGGTATCCAAACCAAAGAAGATATCCAATGTCACTTGTCCTTCACATGTTGAAATACTAATGACCATATGGCCAGGGAAGAAGGTATCTTCTCATTTTTTAAAAATTAATTTTCTCTCTCTCTCTCTCTCTCTCTCTCTCTCTCTCTCTCTCTCTCTCTGTGTGTGTGTGTGTGTGTGTGTGTGTGATTATGTTTTGTTCTAAGCAATTCATCTCCCATCTCATTATCCTCCAACATTCTCTCTGATCCCTTTTGGGGGTTTCCTTCCTCCCCAAAATAGTCTTTCCTTCTACATCCATGTCACATGTATTCCATGACCCATCCCGCCCTGAAGATCTCTTCCTCAGTCAGGCAGTGGTGGTGCCCACCTTTAACCCCAGCTCTCAGGAGGCAGAGGCAGGCAAATCTCTGAATTCGAGGACAGCTTGATTTCCAGAGCGAGCTCCAGGACAGCCAGGACTACACAGAGAAATCCTGTCTCTAAAAACAAAATGAAACAAAAGCTCTCTTCCTACACTGTCATGGTTCCATTTCTACTTTCGTGAGTACACGCACGTGCACATGCGCGCGCGCGCATACACACACACACACACCACACACACACACACACACACACACACCACACACACACACCACACACACACCACACACACACACACCACACACACACACACCACACACACACACACACACACACCACACACACACACACACACACACACCACACACACACACACACACACACATTCTTATTTGGGCTTGTTGAACATAATGATCTTCCATCCATCCATTTTCCTACAAAAAGCATGATAAACCTACCACATTTTCCTTACCCATTTGTCTGTAGGTGGACATCTAGGCTGGGCCCAGTTCTTAGCTACTGTGAGACGTACAGGCTCTTCTCCTAGGACTCCATCCCGTTCTACCTCTACCCTGCTACCCCTATCCCAAGGATCTTGAGAACGCCTTAAGACCCACCGCAGCCTCAGATTTTCAAAGCAAAACTGACCACCAAAGATCTCGGCTTCTGATGTGCACTGCCCTTAACATAAAAAAGGAAGCCTGGATGCAGGGTGCTGACACCTACCCACACCCACACCCACGCACACTGCCCCGGCCTCCTCCCTCCTAGTCTTACCAGACTTCCCCCAGTCTCAGGTCCTGGGCACAGCTAGTCCCTACCTCTGGAATATTCCTTCTGTGCCAGTCTCGCATTCACCCCTCTGCCCCCTCCCCACCCCAGCTCTTCCCTCTTCTCCCCTAATTTCTGCCTTCTCAGCAAAGCCTTCCCTGACCTCTGCACTGGCTCAAGCCCCCCTAGCTCTAAATGCTCTTCACTTCCCGCCGCTCGGGTTTCTGTGTTCTTTATATAATGTCCACCTCCCCCGCTGAGTTGCACCCTTAACAGGGAAGGAAGTGCACTGGTTTCATTCACCACTGCACACAACTGTCCCCCAGCCTCGGGTCCTCCCACCCAACAGGGCCTGTTCTGTAAATACTTTCTGTGTGAATGCCTATTTCTAGGTACCATGGCCTCGGACGCTCTGTTGCATAACCAAAGAAGCAGCTGGGGGTATCTAGACATCTGCATCTTGGTCCACTCTCTTCTAACGGAGCTTGGTAGTGACTGCAAAACACATCCATTCCCCTCTCGACAGCAGATCTGTAGGTGGACACAGGACTGCGTGGTCGGTTTCCCAGTGGAAACAGTCCACAGCAACTGTCTTTTGCTATCTGTCCTGATTTGGGGATCCCCTTCTCCCAGGGACACACTAGACCTAGCAAGGCAATAGCCGGACCAGGTGAGGTAAATCTTTCTAAAGAAAAGAACATGCTCACACCCTTTGTTATTGCAGCATTTGTTCTGCAGAGAGACCTTCAGAGCCACAACCGAGAGAATGCTTTGTCCTCTCAGTTTAATTCTTGGTTCTGGTACTTAAACCCGTGACTTAAACTTTCCATTTCCCCCGCAAGACAGCCAGAATGCAGGCATCATCCACTACAGGGCATTCCAGAAAACAATGTATAGTCTATAGGTCAACGATTCAACAAACCAGAGTCTTTTAAACCATTCACAATTGTTGATGTTGCGTGAAAGAGAAAGTAAGGACAACTTGGGGACATTAACTTTCAGGGTCTCCTTCGTGTCCCCGATATATTTCCCCTGTGAGTTTATCTCTTCTAATTTCCATTCTTGGCTCTCTAGAATTAGAGTGTCTAGCCTTCTCTTGCTTAGAATGCCAGGTACTAATTACGCCGCTTTGTTTTGCAGTGGCAGCCGGTGTCTCATATTTGCACCCTTTGTTTCCAAACAGCGTTTAATGCAGCAGAGAGAAAATAGAATCTTGCAAAAGGGATCAGAAATCTGAGCGAGACGCTTGCTCCCTATCATGCACCGGCTTTGGAAACCCGTGCTTTTCTGACTTCTCATTGGGAATTTGTGGGTGTACGGGGGAGGGGAATGTTGGCTCCTGTTGTTGAAACTGTTAGGTCTCAAACCTTGGACAAATGGAGGTGCCCATTTAACATATCAAAGCAGACCTGGCCTCCAGGTTCTCCCAGTATCCTTCAGTTCCTATCTGTCACAGCTGTGACTGGCATATCCAGCCCTCTCTACCCTGAATTCTTCTGCCCAGTGACTAGGCTACACTGATCTCTTGGTCTCTTGGCCTGGAGCGCCTCTCCTTCATACCTCCTCTCTTGCTTTCCCTCCCCCTCTCCCGTCCTGGTACCGTTTAGTCTGCCGGCCATGTTCAGCCTGGACTCGTATCTCTGTTTTCTCCTTCTATCTACAATAAAAACCACCTCCATACTTCAGGAATAGTCATGTCCTCCTCCTTTTATTTCTTTTTTTTTTTTTCATTCATAAATTAACCTCCAAACCGCCTGGCAGATTTCCAGGGGCCCCAAACCCCTAGGATGTCCCTCAAAGTCACCCTGGCAGTTGTCTTTGCATTTGATGCTGCACAAGATGCCCTTGTAGGGACTCCCGCAAGATAGCAAGGATGAGTGGGGACACCGCTCCCCCAGCCCAGACAGTGAGCCTTTCTGGGCAAGACTGAGCATCGCATTTGCCTGCACCCATCTAATCCAAAGAACCAGCAACCTACATGGTCCTCGGGCATATTAGAGTGAGTTCTGGCTAATTAGGCTTTTAAAAGCTCTTCTGGCTTAATTAAAATCTGCTCCGGGTGACTTGTAGAAAAAGCCTGAACACAAAAGAAAATTAAAACACGCCCCAAAGTGGTGGCGTCTCTGGTGTAATGTCTCGAAAATGGTTGCCATTTAAAATTTAACCAGAGGTCTGGCTACGATTCTTAACATTCCCACAGTGCACAGAGAAAACTAATGATAGTTATGTTCTCTCGGGGGGGGGGGATGTGATGGGGGGGAGTATGGTTGCTATTATAACATTTTTACAGGACCGAGGGATGGGAGGATGCTGCTGTAACATCTCCTGACCTTTTGACACACACCAGTTAAGCTCTTGATAGGCTACAAACAGCTTTCGCAGGTGTGGGGGCTGCAAGACAGACAGGCCTAGTGGTTACTGTATTCCAGGCCGTGTTGTCAATTACCACCAGCGCTGGGACTGCAATGCCCCATGTGCGGGCTCTTAGCTGCTAACTGGGTTACTTCATTCCCCGGTTGGCTGATAGTCATGGTCCACATGTTGAATGAGATTTTTCAGAAGGAAAAGAAGGAGATAACAATTTAAGAAGGGGTGGAAGGGTCGCTCAAGAGCTTATTGCCAGGCTTGTTCTCTTCAAACATGACTTTGGAAAACGGCCGTTTTTGTTGTTGATGTTCTTCTAATCTTTATGGCTCTACATTTCATTTCAGATATCGAGGAGAGTCACAGAGATCTTAAACTTCTCAACCTTTCTTTTCATTTTGTGTGGCTGCTGTTCGGCCTGTATGAGTAATGTCTGAGCATCACGTGGGTCGGTATCTTCAGAGGCCAGAAGAGGCACTGGATCTCCTGGGGCTGGAATTACAGGTAGTTGTGAGCTGCTGTATGGGTGCCAGGAATCACACTCAAGTGCTCTGTAGTGTTTCTTTGTTTTCCTATTAGAAATGATTTCTTTGTGTAGCCCTGGCTGTCCTGGAACTCACTCTGTAGACCAGACTGGCCTCGAACTCACAGAGCTCCGCCTGCCTCTGCCTCCCAAGTGCTGGGATTAAAGCCATGTGCCACCACCACCTTCTTCTGCGCTCTTAACCAATCCAGCCTCCAGAGAGGTTTTTTTTAAATTTTAATTTAGATTTTCTATAATTATTATTATTTCATGTGTATGGGTGTCTTGCCTACATATTTACATCTGTGCACCATGTGCATGCCTGGTGCACAGAGGTCAGAAGGGGACATTTGATTCCCTGGGACTGGGTTTAAAGATGGTTGTGAGCTGCCGCGTGGGTGCTGGGAATTGAACTGGTTCTCTGCAAGAGCAACAAGTGCTCTTAATCTTGGCGCCAACTCTCCAGTCTCCAGAAGGAAATTTTAAAAGGCTGGACGTTCTCGATGGTGTCTTCCTTTTCCCCATCTCCGTGTTCCTCTTCCCCTCCCCCACTCCACCCTCAGGAGGTTGGGGGTCAGGGGAAGGTGAGCCAGTGGGTGCTCTTCTCAACTCCTTTGTAAGAATTTAAGTAAAACACTTGTCTTTTGTCACCTGTGACCTAAGGTTGCCTCCAACTTCTTGCCCGGCTGGGGCTCCTTAGCAAAAGCAAAGGACAGAGGTGGTGCAGCCAACAGGGAGTTGGCATCCCACAGGGAGGGCTCCTCCTGCACCAGCTGAGTTTCCCTCGGGAAAGTGGGAAGGGAAATCTGACACCACATCGTTCTTATGGAAAGGAGAAGGGGGAAGAGGGAGGAGCGGGAAGGAAAGAGGGAAAGCATCAATCCCTGTGCAGCCACCTTGGGTTTAGCCCTGTGGGCGTGGCAGCCAACCTAAACCAGCCCTCTGTTTGCCCGGCCAGTTAACCTGCTGTATGCTCTTGTATGCCTCTCTCACCATTTAGCTCTTCATCTGTAAAGTGGGACAATAACGGCCCTTACCTTAAAACGGAGGTGGGAGGACTATATGAGATAACTTAGTGGATTGCCCCCAACCAGGGCAGGGACCAGCTAAGTATCTGAGTCCGTTAATGATTTTAACTTATCTTTCTTTTCTTTTTTTCTTCTTTCTTTTTCTTCTTTTTCTTCTTCTTCTTCTTCTCCTCCTCCTTCTTCTTCTTCTTCTTTTTCTTCTTCTTCTTCTGGCTGTTGTTTGTTTGTTTGTTTTATTTTGTTTTTTATTTTTTAAGACAGGGTCTCGCTACGTAGCCCTGGTTGTCCTGGCACTCACTCTGTAGACCAGGCTGGCCTCAAACTCACAGAGACTCTCCGCCTCTGCCTCCCAAGTGCTAGAATTAAAGGTGTGCACCACTATGCCTAGCTTAATTTATCTTCTCATTGGGCTTTCCATGGTGGCACTTGCCTTTATTCTAGTGCTCTGTAGGCAGAGACAGGAGGATCTCTGTGAGTTAAGGCCAGTCTGGCCTATACAGTGAATTCCAGGACAGCCAGGGCTACACTGAGAGAAGCTGTCTCAAAAATTAATCCGTAAAACATTAGCATTGTCTCAGCCCTTGTTCTGAATGGCAAGCCTCACTGTCCCACCCAGAGCCTTCTGATAAGATATGGAAAAGGTCATTTGTCACATACGTTCAGACAGAACGACTTGGTACCACACAGACTATGTGTAGTCACTTTGCACTCTGGTCCTCAGTACTCAGAGGCTGAACAGTCTCTTGAACTCATAGAAACCCAACTGCTCTGTGCCCAGGGAGAAAGAACCATGGGGACTGAGAGAAAGCAAATGTTTATCTGGTCCCCTAACAGCAGTGACTTCCCGAGAAGGAGCACACTCCTCCCTAAAGTGGTTGTAAGCTGAATTCAGATTCCAGCACCTCCACTTCCTGGGAAAAGCAGAAACTCTGAGCAAAAGTATTCATTCCCTCTGAATTCATTTTCCTATTGGAAAAGCAGGCTTGACATGTCACTATCAGGATTAGCCATAAAATGTAAACACATGCCCGGTGGGATGGTGTACGCCTTTAATCTCAGCACTCCAAAGGCAAGGAGAGGCAAGCAGATCCCTGTAAGTTTGAGGCCAGCCTGGTCTCAGTGAGACTCAGTGAGACACAGTGAGTCTCTTGGGGTTTCGATTGCTGTGATAAAGACCATAAGCAAATGCAGCTTGGGGGCAAAAGGGTTTATTTCACCTCACACTTCTACAGCATAGTTAGTTCATCATCAAGGAAAAGTCAGGGCCC